ACAGAGGGCCAGGCACATGGATTTCTTATACACTCTACTTCTGAACTCAAGCAAAAGATAGACAACAGAGCAATTTCTAGTGAACACAAGAGTGTCCTGGGATAAGCAACTGTCTAGCAAACAAAGTACTGCTTTCATTATATAAGGCAGTGTGGACTCTAAAGCAAGGGACAATATTCTGGCTTACTTATAAATGTAATTTAGGAAGTGGTCAGTATAATTTCAATGTCTATGCTATTTTAAAAGAAAAAATGATACATTATAAGACCTAGGTAAACCAAAGCTTCAAAAACACTAACTGGTTTTATCATCCTTTCCTGAATGCAGTTAAGATCCTTCAAGAAAAAAATATCAAGAACTCTATACCAAAAAAAAAAAACCATTTGTTTTTCACCATTTCTTTTAAATTGGATGCTTATGAGTTATTATTCCTTTTTGTTTTGTTTTTAAATCACTAGTTCTCTATTTTCTCTCCCATAGGTTCTCATTTAAGATCTCAGTTTTGATAAATATTAATCATAGCATAAAAATGATTTTGAATTTTCCTATCAGGAAGACAGAATCAAGTAGAGAAAGTGCTTGTGCAACCAGGTATTTCAAGCAAAATGGAAAACTGAGTATATTGAGCTTCTCTGGAAAGTTAAGCAATTCATAAAATACTGCCTTTTCTGTTTTCTTCTTTCCTGGACCCCTTTTTTCTCAAAGAGAAAAACATTTCTAGCTTTTCCTAATGTCTAAAATATTGAAGAACAAAAATAAATTTAAAATAAAATATTAAAGACTAAATAAATGTTAAAAAAACTATTAACAATAGTTAAATTCTAATTTAAAAGACATTATTTTTATGGTTATAAATTTTCAAAATAGCAACCTAGTTTACTGTCACCCAAACTAATCATTTCTGCCTATTTGTTAAGGATTCAGAAACAATATACACATAAAATCTACTGCCCAAAGACATAATAATTGAAGTCCTGAGAAATGTTTTGCTTTTTGGAATATAAAATTCCTCCTGGAAGTCTTAAGAAACTGTTGCTTGTTTTCAGGTACTTACCCCCTACCTGCAAGTGTAGGTACACTCCCTACAGCCCAAAATATATTGATGAAGAGTTTACATAAATGTTAAAATTTAAATGAGGGAAGATAGCCTAATAATGTTCCAGACACAGATTCTGGTCAGTAAGCACTTTGGACAGGGGCCTTCTATGAAAACACTGCACGCATGTAATGAACTCACCATAGTTCCCAAACTTTCCCTTCCTAGCAAACTATTTTGATCGTACTAGCCAAAAATAGATCTAACTCTTGCTTTCGCATTTATGCTTTTGACCTTTACAACTTCTTGAAATAACAATGTACACTCTGTATTTACTAGAATCTACATGTTAAGATTGACTATAATTCCTTTCATTTGTCTAAAAATGATCTTATCTTGTCTTTTATCTTGAAACTAAAAAGAGGAATCCCCTAATTCTACAATTTTGGGATTTGGCTATAAAGTATGTTTATATCCATCCTACTCAATGGCCCTCATTATTCTATTTTATAGACTGTGTATCACCAGTAACAATTTGAAATGCTTTCCCATAACAGACTGAGTCAACTAAATAAGGAAAATAAAAATCCAATCTCAAGAGGTGTAAAATAACAGTAAATAGACTACAGTGCTACCCTAGGGCAAAGAATACAGCACTGTTATTCTGGGAAACTGCAGCTGAGGAGTTTGGAACTTTATTAGGAAATCCTCAAGTTTAAAAGCCATATCCAAATACACCACACTTCTTGCTGTTTTGTTCTGTATCAAGAAGTTGTCTGATGGATTTCTAATTGGTTGAGACGTCTGCTCATTAGTAATATCCGGGGACAAGGAAATGCCTGATGTTTTCTCTTGGTGTCCACTGCCTTTCATACCTAAGAGTGCTGCTTTCTCTTCTTTCTTGTCCACTAAAGCTCTGCCAGTACTTCACTTTCAATGTCATTAAGTTAGTGAATAATGAAACCTTCACTGTGACAGACTCCATCTGCCTATGAGAATCCCAAAGGGAATTTTCTCTGTTCACCTCAATTAGAAAAATTTATTCTGAGAAATTGTTTATTTCTCTGCCAAATCACATAGAAATGGTAACAACTGTGGGATACTCCCACATAAATGTGTACAGAAATTTAATACTGTAATTCTCAATTTCTGAGGTTCTTCCTGTGCAAGTGGCACTGAGACTTTCCAGTACTGATTACATACACATGTACATATACTTACCTCAACTATCTAACACATCTCAAAGCTTAGAGGTTTTGAGTAGTGGTATGAAAAGTCAGTCATAAACAATTAGAGGTGGTATTTAAAATGCCAGAATAGATAAATTTTCATTTGCACTTGGTGTCATCCATGGAAAGAAACATTAAACCAATGAAGTAATTATGACCATAAAGTGTAAAAAAGATAAAGCATTCATTAATTTGGATGGTAGATGTAAATGGGAAGTAATAAAAGCAGACATTTCTAAGTCACATTAGGTAAGTCTTAATTTCATGGTATATCAGAAATAAAAGATAGTCTAAAAACTTGGCTCCTAGTTCCAGTCTTGTATAAGAAGTTTCAACCAAAGATGCTACATTAATAAACTTCAACCAAGGAATTCTCATCTACTTTGTGATTACCATGCAGAGCAACAGAGAGCCTACGATTTTATTTTTTAAGGCCCTCTCTGAAAAGTCTTCTCACAGAACAAACTGCACGGAGTTGAAATAACCCAAGAGGGTGAGAAAGCTGAAATAAGAGTGATTTATCTCAAATTGCTAATTCCAATAACATTCACATTTCCTAAACTGGTTGTTTTAATAATAATTTCCCATTCTACTTAAGGATTTTGTGTAATTTTAGTACAATAAATAATAATAGTAATAAATAAATTGCCTACCTTTATGAATTTATATTTCTATTACATAAAAAATCAAAAACATATTTGGTATGACACTAGAATGGTTATAAATATTATAGTTATTAAAAAAAAACCAAGACCAGCCTATTAGCTATTTTTTCAACTCAAAAAGTCTTTTCAAGACTTATATAGTATCAGGCATTGACCAAATTGGAAGAAATAAAGTCACAAGCCTCAAATTAAAACCAAATAACATGTCCAAGATTGATGGGACAATTGATGGGAAAAATACCCTGGGACATTGAAAACATATAGTCCCCAAATCAGGGGAAGTGTTTTGCAAGCCTAGTTTTAGAAGAAATCATAACCTAAGAATTAATATAACCTAATCTATCAAATCAGGAAAAGCATAATTGTATTTAATCATGTACTATTACTTGAGTGTCCTCTGTCTTGCCCACTAAGCAGGGAGCTTCTTGAGAGCAGAAGTGTTTAATCATTTTTTTATCCAAAAGACCCCACGGAGTGTCTGTAGTACAGGGTACCCAAATAAATATTGTTTCAATGAATGAATGAGTGAACAAACAATGATTATGAAATTGCATGGAGCATTTCCATTGTTTTGGTCCAAACTCTACTGTAATCAATATGCAGAAATGTCTTTCTTATAATTCTCCAAGCAAGGGATTTCAAAATAAAGTAACACGCCTCTGAAGGAAAAAAAAAAACAAAAATTTAAAGGATACTTCATATATCTTGATATTAAAATTGAAAATTCTATAAAAGAATTAAAAACAAGTATAAGATGTAGATTTCATTAAAATGAAGTTTATAAGGTCCTAAAGTGTGAACTATATAATCATACCCATTCAGAATATCTTGGAGGAAATGAATGCTTAAGTGGATGCATTTTAAAGACACTTTAAGGCAAGAAAACCTTAATATCAGTAACATGGCAAAATGGCATTTTTAAAAATTCTCTGTCCAGTTATTTCAAAAGCACAGCAACTACTACTTCCCTTCTACGTTTCTCCTGTTTTTTTAAGTCAAACCAAATATATCACATAAATCAATATAGACCAATGCGCAATGAAAAAAAGAAAGAAACTTCAACCCAAATTTGACCATAATAATACAAATTTGACCACAATAATTGCCTTCCCATTTTTCAAGAACTGACTCTCCTTATTAGGTTCAACTCCAAATACTCTCTCTAACACAAGGCTCCCCTTTCAGCGGTGTCCATTGGGCCTGAAAGCTATTCCAGGGACTTAAATCTTATTAAGTAGCCACTTTCACAGCCATTCCCAACTTGAGGGAAACACTTCCACTGAGATTAACTCTAAGAATTTGATCAGTTTCTGCAGCTTATTTGGAAGAAAATGTGGGAGAATGATGAACAAGAAGATATTCCTCAACAAAGCGAAACTCAACTCTGTTCTCCAGATGTACCTACACCCTACCCGCTACTCCCCCTTGGCTTCCTCCTGTTCCGGGCTCTGGACAGGTGGGAGGAGGTTGGGGGTGTCGTGGGGAGGGGATGCAACTAACTTTCCTTCGCCACCGCATTCCCATTCCCACCCAAAATCAGGTCCAGCTGGTAACTGAAGCCACCAGGTAGGGCTGTCTGCATCTCCCTTCCCCCTTGGGAGAAGGATAGGATGGGGAGGATGGGGGGCGCGCGTGGGCAGGATGGAGGTGAGGGGGGGGATGTTCTGACTGCAACTCTTCTTACCACTGGAGCGCCTGACGATGTTCTCCAAAAATGTGTTCTGCGGTGCCACCAGCCCTCTCTTGCCCCCCGGCATCCTGGGTCTGGAAAGCAGCGGCCAGGATCCGCGGCGGGGGAGGGGGGGATGCAGGAAGAGAAGGTGGAGGAAGAGGAGGAAAAGGTGGAAGAGAAGATCGAGCCGAAAGAAGAGGGGGCGCGGCGGCGGCGACGGGGTCCCCTGACTGTGTCTCCAGCCCGACCCTGATGAGCAGCTCTGGGGAGGAGGACCAGGCAGTTCATGGTAGTAGCGCTCCCCCGGCCGCCGC